AGGAGAAGGAGAAGGAGAAGGAGAAGAAAGAAAAGGAAAAGGACTGGAGTTGCAGCTCAGGGCAAGAGTCTACTTCAATCCCCCATAAAGAGGGAAAAAAAGTCAAGGTAATAACATGGTCTGGGAACTCCCAGCCTAGAGGAGCATGAGGATAATGCCGATACTACACACATCCCTTGATAGGATTCTGAAACGGAAGTTACACAAGTTAAGTAAAAAACTATGGAAATCTACACAAGGTATGAGCTTTGGTAAAAAATCATTTATTAATGTCGATCCATTAATTGTGAGAAATGTGACACATTGGTGTGAAATCTTAACAGGGAAGAGTTAATAGGAAAAGGTGTGGAGTGTGAAAAAACTGTACCATCCTCAGGTTTTTCTGTAAATCTAAAACTGTTCTAAAATATAAAATGTTTTCATCTGTTTAATAATTGCCTGTCTCAAAATAAAGGCTATTTTTGTTATGATCAAGGTTAAGGTCACTGAGAGGAAACTTGGTTCTAATTATTTCCAGCATGAGCTGGGCCATGTGTTACTCCCCCGCCTCTGTCTTCTCACCTCTAAAATGTAAATGTTAAACTAAAATTTAGGTCTCAGATCTGTGGTGACAGCAGTTCCTTGAAGTGCTTAATGGACCATCGGGAGGATTTCACACCAACCTGGATGTCAAGGTCTCTCTCTCTCTTTCTCTCTCTCTCTCTCTCTCTCTCTCTCTCTCTCTCTCTCTGCTTTTGCTGTCTTCTGTCACTACAAACTGTTGTCCCTCTGCCATGTGCCACCTCCTTCCTTAGACCCAGCCATTAGGAATAGAAACTTCTACTGTGAGCAAAGTAAACCTTTAATTTGAGTGTTGGGTATTTTTTCTCAGCAATGAAAAACTAAGACATTAGCCTAATCATTTTATTTTTAGGAATGTACCTTCAGAAAAATAGAATGTCTGACTATGAAGAATTAAAAGGGGGAGGATGAGCCAGATGTGGTTGTGCATGACTGTAATCCCAGAATTGAGGGTAGCTGAAGCAGGAAGATTCCAAATTCAAGTCCTGCCTGGGCAACTTAATGAGATTCTGTCTTATAAATAAATGAATAAATAAATAAGTAAATAGGACTGGAGATGTAACTCAGAGGTAGAGCACCAATGGGTTTGATCCCCAGTACTACCAAAACAATAAAAAATAAGAAACTACAATGATGCTGGTGGTGACGCTGTTGGAGTGTTTTCCTGAGTCTGGATGTCCCATGCACTTAACGTGGATTGGCTTGTTTAGACCTTACACTGATCCCACTAGGCAGGGACCAACATGCTCTCATTTTACAGCTGAGGAAAATGAGCCCCAGAATTCAAATATCCTCTCTAAGTTTGTCCAACTAGGAAGGGATAGAGCTGAGATTTGAGTCCAAGAACTCTTGATGCCAACGTCTGTTCTTGAGATCCTGACAATATCCTCTCAGCAGTTTAAAATCTAAAACTTTAAACAAACAAAAGAAGACTGGCCAACTATAAAAGGTCAACAGAATAAACGTGGAACAAGGACTGTCCAAGGATTCATATAGTGACATAAAAAGTGTTATTTACTTATTCATTTATTTATGTATTTATTTATTTATTGAGATAAGATCTTGATATGCAGTTCAAGCTGGCCTTGAACTCACTTTGTAGCCCAGGCTGGCCTTGAACTTACAGCAACTTTCCTCCCTCAGCCTCCCAAGCGCTGGGATTACAGGTATGCACCAACTCATGTGGCCTACAATGTATTTAGCAAAGAAGAAATCTTAAACAGTAAAGATACAATACAACTGGAGCATAACCATGTGTATATGTGGCTATGCATGTGTGCATATAAACTGGAATACCACCATCCCAGATGTGAGCAGTCACTGCTTATCTGGATTTCCCCACTTTTCTAGAAATCTATGTTCATAACTGAGAGATGGAATTTTTTTTTTTTCGGAACCAGGGATTGAACTCAGGCCCTTGTGCTTGCCAGGGAAGCACTTATTCCACTGAGCCATCTCCCAGGCCCAGAGATGGAATCTATTGACTTGAACATATCATAGGACGCCTACACTCCAGTGCTGTGTTTCCTCTTGGGTCGAACTCTTAATAGGCAGATACAAAGATGCCAAATATTAAGTGTTGCCATGACTATGCATGGTAATCATCTCACTGTAGGGACATAGACAAACCATTTCACCTGCCAAGTTCACAGCTCTCACATCTGCAGAATAAGCAGGTGATGGCAACAGCAACTGCAGACCTGGGCTACTACACTCCCCAGAAGTCTTTTGGGACTTTGCAGGGGCAGTTCAAGTAATAGCCATGAATTTGGGGTACTACTGTCTTTTCAATTGAAGGCTGAAAGCAAGTTCTGTCTCCAGCAATGATCTAATAGATCCCTTGTTGTACAAAAAGCTTCCTGTTTCCCAGGCCACAGTGTACAATCCCAGCCAGACTTGCATCTGTGATGAGAACCCGAGCTCAGAAAGAAAACATATCTAAAGTCTACTTTGCAGTGCCAGTTACAGTTCCCCTTCTTGCTTTATTCTTTGATCTGGCTGGCTCACACTGGGTTGGCATGCACATCTGTCACAAGCATTTGAAACACCAGGAATAACCAAAGGCTCACACTGAAAAAGTAGAACTAACATTTGTGAAGTCACATACAGAAGAAAGCTAAGGTCAGAAGATGTCCAATCGTCCTCCCTGCTAGAAGAGGCTCTCACTGGTAGGCAATTGTGCATAGGAACCCTCTTTCACAACAGCTGAAGCTCTACTTCTTCTGATGGATAAGGTTGATGCACAGGCACTCTTTGATGTTTGAAACTTTGCCCCACTGACTTTGAGTGTATTGTTTTTTCTTTCTGAAGCCATTGTCAATTAATCATTGGTAGCCTTGTCTCTCAGTGCTGAGGTATATTTCTCTGGGGATGATCAAGCAGAACGTGCCCCAGATTGGAAAGGACGTTTATAGCTACCCATATCACAAAAACAGAGCAAGTCCAAATAAACAACCCATCATGGGATCTCAAGGTCCAAGAAAGGCAAAATGAATTTAAACCCAAGGAATGAATTAGTACAAGGAAGGAAATTATAAAGATAAGAGCAGAACTCAATGGAATTGAGGGGAAAAAAATACAAAGAATCAATGAATTGAAAAATTGATTCTTCAAAAGAAAAAAAAAACAAAACAGAAAAACTCTTAGTGAATCTTACCCCCCAAAAAGGAAAGATAAGAAAAGCAATTAGAAATGAAAAGGGTGCTGCAGGACTGCTAAGCTCTGACCCTTAAACCCCAGCATGCAGGCGTGGTGCTTGTGCTGGTGCTGGCTCAAGCTTTAAAGAATTTAGGCTGGGGAGATAGCTCAGCAGTGTGAGTATTTGCTTGGTAAGAGCAAAGTCCTGAGTTTGATCCCTGATCCAAAAAAAAAAAAAAAAAAAAAATTTTAGGAGGACCTTGAGCAGCCTGGGGGACTATGGAGAACTGCAATCTGAGGGCCCAGTGCATGCAGATGTGGAGCTTTCTTGGTGCCTAGTCCACCCATTTAAGAAATTAGGAGTACTCTGGGTGGTCTGCAGGACTCCAGCGAGCTGTGTCCCTTGGCTCCCAGCACGCAGGTG